ACACATAAAATAAGATATTCCAAGTACCTCCATTATACTATAGCTACTTCACAGATAGAGATCATTTTTTCACCTGTATTTAAATCAATGTTTGATAGTGCTTGACCCATAACAGATACTGGAAATAGGCAAATTTCTTCTTAGAGGTGATCCAAGACCTAGTCCTTTTTATTAATTACTAATGAACTCTCAGGTAATTAGCAGATTTCCTCATACTTGTTGGATTTCACCCTTCATTATGATAAAATAGGAGCCTGGACAAAGTCTTCTCTAGGCTCCTTTCCAGATCTGATATATAACTAGTTGTGCCCACTCAGTATACTCTACCCCAGTGTTGCTTTCAGAAATTAATAATTCTACAAACTGAGGAGACACAAAGAAGCCATGAATCACTTTGTATTTACAGATACACATGCATTTAAAACAAATTCTGTAAAATAGCTACAATACTGTTGCACTTGTGGCCTACTTTTGCCTCTTTAAAGGCCAAGAGTTGTTATGGGTTTTTTTCTTCTTTTATTTGGATTTGTTTAGGAAGATGAAATCTGGGACAAGTTACCACTAACACGTATTATACAGCTCCAATCTCATTGGCTAATTTCACTGTTACCGTGATTGATCAATAGTAAACTGCAATCAGCTGGAAGCTGCTGCCTTCCATTTGACAAAAATGAGGTCACAGAACAGGGCTGGGGGACAGCCATCAACAAGCAGGTCTGTTGCCCAGTATAATAGTTTGCTGCTTTAACACAGTCCATCTGTTGTGAAGATGCTTGTTCCCTTGAACTGGCTTCTGACTTTAACAGTCTTTAAGTAAAAGAGTCAGTCTCTTTCTGGATATCAGCAGGAGATAAAAGATTAATGAATACAGATGGTAAAGGGTTGTGCAGGACTTTGTCTGAAATCCTAGTTCTACAGCAAGTTATACTAGATGAGTGTTACTACACAGAGAAAATAATTATTAGCCATGACACTCTATGAAACTTTACAGAGTAAAATGCACATCAGAACCACTGCCCTATAAAGGGTATATATATAATTCCATGGTCAGAGAAAATCAAGCCACTCCCCAAAATGTACCTTTGCTGGGGTATGGAAATTGCTCAAAGTACTGCTTGTGAGCCACCTAAGAATTTCTGACAGAGGCAGATATAAGGAAAGCTAACACTTGGTCTGGAGAAGCTCTGGGAATTTTGCTTAGGCCCCTGGGATCTGGTTACCCCAGAACCTAACTCTCAAGTATTAGATATCCATCACATTGGATCAATCTGAGTAGTGGAACAATTTAATAGAGTCTTTTCAGACTCAGAATCTGACAGTCCAGCGATGGAATCCTAGTTTACTAGGATTACTCTTACACTTGCTAGCAGTATAATCTTGGCCAAATCTCTTGACTTGTCTCCATCACATTTATGTAAAAGGGATGTGGTATACAATGTGGCTAAGAATACAGACCATGGAACCTACCACATGGAGTTCAACTCCAGCTCTGCCATTTATGTAATCCTAGGCAAACAATAATTTGTCTATTGTTTAATTTCCTCATTTTTAAATGAAGCTTTCTCATTTTCAGGACTTCCTTTACAAAGATGTTGGGAAGGTAAATGAGTTAATACATGTAAAGTGCTTGAAACAATGTCTAGTGCAGTACAAGGATGGCATCCATGTTAATTAAAATAATAAGAAGGAAATCCGGATCTCTTGGGTTTGTTTTGCAGATGGTGCAAAACAAAAATGTTGAAGGTCCAAAAATCACAGAGTTATTAATGCCTGATGAGTCTAAGGTCATTCAAATAAACCCCTTTTCTTTGTAGATAGAAAATCAGGTCTCAAGAAGTATGTATCTATATGCATGTGGTGTGTGTGTGCGTGCGTGCGTGCGTGTGTGTGGGTGTGGGTGTGGGTGTGTGTAGAGAAAATTGGTGTAGAGGGCTGGGAATGTGGCTTAGTGGTAGAGTACTTGCCTAGCATGCCCTGGGTTCCATTCCTCAGTACTACATAAACAGAATAAAGCCAGAAGTGGTGCTGTGGCTCAAGTGGTAGAATACTAGCCTTGAGTAAAAAGCTCAGGGACAGTGCCTAGGCCCTGAGTTCAAAAAACAAATGAACAAAAATTGGTGTAGAGTCACACATGATTAAATTATAGTCCTGGTCTCCTAAATTCAAATTCAGACTCTGTCTTCTTTCTTACATAAAAAAAAGCAACATTTCCATAGAGCTGACTCTCCATGGTCCTTTTTTTTTTTTTTTTTAAATCAGTCATGGGGCTTGAACTCTAGGCCTGGACGCTGTCCCTGAGCTCTTCCAGCTCAAGGCTAGTGCTCTACTACTTGAGCCACAGAGTCACTTCCAGTCTTCTGGTGGTTAACTGGAGTTAAGAGTCTCACAGACTTTCCTGCCCAGTCTGGCTTTGAATATTGATGCTCAGATCTCAGCCTCCTGAGTAGCTAAGGATTATAGACATGAGCCACCAGTGCCTGGCTTCCCTGGTCCTTTTATGCAATCAGCAGACCTGTTGCCTGCCAGTGCACTTTCCTAGGGCAATGAACTGCATTTGAAATAGAGAAAACTGAAGAGAAATACTCCTCCTGCAGACACACACACAAACTTTTGAGATTGTGTGTTAGTGCAAGAGAGGAAGTTGGGGATTTAGGCCATAATTGAGAAGAAAGATTTTCAGAAATCAATGCTGTTTGGTGGTTAGAGAAAAGTTTCAAAGTCTTTCCTGCTTTGGCTGGCTTTGAACCACAATGCTCTGATCTCAGCCTCCTGAGTAACTTGGATTATAGGCATGAATCACTGGCACCTGGCTGACCTCACAGTACCTTTGCTTTTTAAATTTCAGGCATTTAAGAGGCTTCAACCAGAAAGGACTCTTTGGTAGATACTAAGGTATCATTTCCAGGAGAAAAGGGTTCTCAATTTTCTCAAAACTTTTTCAGGGTCATTCCCCCTTAGAGTTGTTCTGCTTTGAGTCATATTTTCCAATATGACTGTTCAGGTAATAATTGGCATGAGCCAGGCACCTGTGACTCACGCCTATAATCCTAGCTACTCAGGAGGCTGAGATCTGAGGATCATGGTTCAAAGCCAGCCCGGGAAAGGAAAGTCCGTAAGACTCTTATCTCCAGTAAACCACTAGAAAACCGGAAATGGCACTGTGGCTTAAGTGGTAGAGCTGAGGGATAGCACTCCCAAGCCTAGAGTTCAATCCCACGACCAACAACAACAACAACAAAAATTGGCAGGGAGGTTGGAATAAAAAGGACAGGATGGGAGGAAGACCCCATGAAGAATGGTGAAATGAATTATAGGGGAAAAGAGCAGGTACAGGGATCACAATTCCTATTCTCAAATTATCTAAGGTTATCACAGGGGATTGCAGGGGGGAAAGGGGAGACTGCTGATTGCAGAGCTAGTACAGAGGGTCTGGAAAGAGGAAGGGACAGATTTCAGCTTGAAGCAAGGAAAACTATCAACTATAAAGGCTGCACAAAGATGATGTATGTTCATTGAGCTGCTGGTCCTGGCTGGAATGTTGCTTTTCCTCCTCCTCCTCCTCCTCTTCTTTTTCTTCTTCCTTCCTCTTTCTCCTTCCTTCCTTCCTTCTTTCTTCCTTCCTTCCTTCCTTCCTTCCTTCCTTCCTCCCTCCCTCCCTCCCACCCTCCTTCCCTCCCCTCCTCCTCCTCCTCCTCTTTCTTCCTGTTTTTGCTATTTGGGGGATTTAATTTTGGGTTATTTGGGGTTTTAATTTTGTAGCCCAGGATGGCTACAACATGCCTCAGCCTCACAAGTACTCCTGCCAGAAAGTATATTTCAGAGGAAAGAGATTTGATTGTGAGGCCTCACAGCTACTTGTTAGATTAGGTAAATTTGGGGAATCTTACCACTTCTAAAACTTTCAGATTCTGGGAACCAAAAAATCCAATGCCCAATTCCACGCCATAGGCAAAAACCAGCTATATATATATATATATTTTGGTCATGGGGCCTGAACTCTGGGCCTGGCCACTGTCCCTCAGCTCTTCAGCTCAAGGCTAGCGCTCTACCACTTGAGCCACAGTGCCACTTCCAGCTTTTTCTGAGTATGTGGTGCTGAGGAATCGAACCCAGGGCCTCATAGCATGCAAGGCAAGCACTCTACCACTGAGCCACCTTCCCAGCCCCTAGCTGTATACTTGTAATGCCAGTACATGCCTGTAATAATCCTAGACTAAAACAGGAAGACAGAGAGCTCTCTAGAGAGAGCCAGTCTGGGCTACATAATTAGCTACAGGCCAATCATGGGTTTCATAGTGAAACCTTGTTGCCAAATAAATAAATAATAAATAAAAATATGGAAGAGATCCATCTAGACAGCAACAAAATCAGATGCCTGTGACTGGTACTTTATCTTGCCCTTCCTTGTGCTCATTTGCTTGCTCTTTCGTATAGCAGGAACCTTTGACATTTTGCAGGAGATAATCTTTTTCTTTTAAATGTGTTTCTGACTCAGCCTTTGCTCCTTCAGTCTCACTAGAGATTGAGCTCTCCAGAGATTAGCACTGGCCTGTCACCACAGCAACTGCCCAGATCCTGTGGGCATCCGTGGTAACAGGCACAGGGCTTTGTGAGCCAAAGCTTGATTTGCAATGAAAGGTAGCTCCACAGGGATCCTGGTATGAAACAAGCAACTTGTACTTTGGGAAGTTTCCTTTAATAGGCTTAGCTGTGCAGGAAGGCATCATTTTACACATCTGGCAAGTCCTTGCAAGTGTGTGTGTGTGTGTGTGTGTGTGTGTGTGTGTGTGTGTGAAATTTTGGTAAGTGAAGGAAGGAAATCTCAGTTTTAAATACAGAAAAATCCAAGTCCCTGTATTGAATCTCCTTCATAAAATGAACTTTTCTTTTGTAAAACAAGTCTTCACCCACAATCTGACCTGTGCTGTTATCCTAGTGCTATGTATTTGTAACTGGGGCTATCTGCAGAGAACCCTAGGGTTGGGGAACGGGGAAAGCAAAGAACAGCAGCAACTCAGCTTCTTTGGGTGAGAGTGGACAGTGTGTAACAGAGAAGCAAAGTGCATGTGGACTACAATGAGGAGAGGTTAAGTGGGTAGGCCTTGCCTAGCATGAGCAGTTCTGCTGCAGCAGCGGTGGAGTGTCTGAGAGACGGGTATTCTTGGCAGTGCCCAGCACAGAGGGGTCTGTGTCCAGCGAATCAGACATCTTATCACAAATGGCATCTACCAGGCGTTCAAAGGCTTGCCTCACGCTGATGTTCTCCTTGGCACTGGCTTCAAAGAAGTCAAACCCTAGGAAGAGAAAAGAGACAGGTACAGATTTTTTCCCCCATCTTTTCAACTAAAACTTTTTTTTGTGCCTCCAGCAGAACACTCTGGATGAATATAGCCAGGGCTCAGAAGTAAAGCAAGAAAGCTTAGTTCCATACATGGGAATTCTGCTTCCAAGACACGGGTTTTAGAGCCAGACTCAGAACCTGGCTCTTCCACTTGGCAATCTTGGGCAATCTTGTTCTCTTTACAAATCAATTCCCTGATTTGTAAAGGCCTACTTCTTAGAGTTATTTTAACTGCTGAGCAAGTTAATGAATGTGGAGAATGTGGTCTTGCGCCTGATACCGAAGGAGTTCATTAGCTTCTTACTGAGAGAGAAAATACATAAATAAATACTTTACAACTTTCCAAAGCATTTACATATCTGTTAATATCATTTCTCTTTTTCCCTTATCTCTAATGCAGACATTGTGGCTTAGTGAAGTAAAACTGGCTTGCCTGAGCTAAATAAAAGCACCAGTCTGAGAAACCTTGATTTGGGGTTTTTTGTTACTTTACTAGGCTGGGGAGAGAACCCAGGGCCCTATGCCTGCTAGACAAGCACTCTACCACTGATATATATACACTCAATCTAGTTCTGGACTTTTTGATAAAGGATTTTCCTTCTCTTTGCCCTGCTTCTCTCTTATCCCTAGCCTGGGTTCTGGAAGACAGGCACCTTAAGAGCCACAGTAGATGAGCAGAGCTTTATTTGACCTTTTTACACAGCAACACACTGGCTCACTCTGTTCAACGGGATTCATCATCCCTAAAGTCCGCTGAAATGAACCTATACCTCTTTCCTCTCCCTCCCCAAAAACCCCCAACAAAATGACCAAGATAAACGGCACCTGAGGTATGCCACAATCTTGTCTATTTTATCTCTTGAGATCCTTATGTCACAATGAACAGAACATGGTTTACACAGAGAGACACAAATAAAGCCCTTTCTGATTCAAAGCTGCTTCCCAGCTGAGAAACCTTCACCAGCTTGGAAGCATCCTTACAAGCATAAAATGCTCTTTCTACTATGTCCTTGCTACCACTCACTTCCCCTTCTTAACTCCCTCCTTCCCTCTGTAATCTTCATTTCCCTTCAAGAGCCTGTCCTGGAGCTTGAACTCAGGGTCTGGGCACTGTCCCTGAACTTTTGTGTTCAAGGATAGTACTCTACCACTTGAGCCACAGTTCTACTTCCAGGTTTTTTGGTTGTTAATTGGAGATAAGAGTCTCACAGACTTTTCTGCCCCAGAAGGCTTCTAACCACAAACCTTAGATCTCAGCCTCCTGAGTAATTAGGATTACAGGTACCAACCACTAATGCCTGACTAAGGCTCTCTTTTCTTATTTTTCATTTATCTTTTCTTATTTTCCCTTAGGTTTTTTATATAAATATTCTTACCACCAATTTACAAAGGAGAAAATGAAGGCTCCAAGAGATTGTGTAACTCACATAGACCTATGTAGCTGTATTAGTGGGAAGTGAACTTGGTCCTGGGATGTTCAGGCTCTGAAGTTTATACCAGCCCTGCTGCTAAGTTCTTTCTCTTTCTCTTTTTTTGCTTTGCAATCCCCCCTCTCCAATCATATTCTTTTCTCCTTTAACAAGTCTATTTACTTCTTATCTGAGTACCAGTGATTGAACTGGCACCACCACACTGCACATGTCTGAATCACTTAAACTCTCTGATTCTAAGACTCCTCATTTGTCAGTAGGAATAATAACAGTCTCTTCCTATAGTTGGAAGCACTGAGTGAGACAATGGAAAATTTGCTGTACAAAAGCCTCCAGTCATGACAGGTTTTTCTATTCTACTTTCATCTTGTTCCTCTCACCTCTAACCCTCTCTCTCTCCCTCTTTTATTTCCCAGTCTCCCACAAAGCAGAAGGACTCTTCTCCCTATTATTCCACCATCCAGAGAGACCTGAAGCCCCAGGTACAATCAAGGCTTCTCTTCCTCTGTCTTTCCCAGTTTGAAGGCTCTTAAGCTCCTGCCAGCCTACTTCCAAGTGACAGCCTTTCCTGTGGCCTGTTTCCTGACCTGAGAAAGGCAAGCTGCAAAAGTCCTAATTAACTGTGGGCACGTGATGAAGGAGGCAGCTAGCTGGTGGCTCATTATCCTCAAACCTTAGAAACCTAGCCTGCTTTGGTGTACATAGCTTTTCCTTAATGAATATCACAAAAATTGACTTCTTGGTCTTTGATTGGCTTATGGCAAGTGTACAGGGATGTACTGCTCACCTACAAAAGGGTAAACAGGTAAAGCAGTAAATAGACCAACCATCAGTTAGATGAAGAAAACCATACAGGTCAAGGCCAGGAGCACAAATCCAAATCAGAAATGGCATTGAGGAAAGAATGTGCTATATTATACAGGTGGGAATTCATTATATAGGTGGGAATCAACCTGGATTTGAATATAATCTCTTTTAATTACTAGCTTTGTATATTCCCTAATCACTTTCCACCACTTCCTTATCCTGTAAAATGGAATTAATATTATCTATCTCATAGGGTGGAAATGAAAAGTAAATGCACAAAAGCATGTGAGTGTCCTCTGTACATCACCTTTGTAATAACTATATATATATATATATATATATATTTTAAATGTGAGTGATTGGCACACATAATACATGGCAATTCCTCTTCCCACACTTTCCCTACCCACCTTAGTCTTAGCTTCATCTCTCCATTATCTCCTACTCACTCTGGGAAACTCAGTTTTTCTTCATCATTTGGTATCAACAAATAAACTAGGTTTTCCTTATTATTAAATATTAACATTGCTCCAGGACCTGGGGAGAGTATATCTAGTCTTGGAGACTCAGTAAGATTGTCAGTCTTACATATCTACATAGTTCTTTTTTTCTTTTTTTGTTGGTTGTGGGGCTTGAACTCAGGGCCTGGGCACTGTCTCTCAGCTTTTCAGCTCAAGGCTAGCACTCTACTACTTGAGCCACAGCGCCACTTCCAGTTTTCTGGTGGTTTATTGGAGATCAGAATCTCATAGACTTTGCTGCCCAGGCTGGCTTTGACTGCGATCCTCAGATCTCAACCTCCTGAGTAGCTAGGATTACAGGTGTGAACCGCCAGTGCCCAGCAGTGTCCCTCAACTCCTCAGCTCAAAGCTAGCACTCTACCACTTGAGCCACAGAGCCACTTCCAGTTTTCTGAGTGGTGTTTTGGAGGTAAGAGTCTCATGGACTTTCCTGCTTGGTCTGAACCACGATCCTAAGATCTCAGCCTCCTGAGTAGCTAGGATTACAGGCATGAGCCACCGGTGCCTGGTTCTGCATAGTTCTTAACAGTTCACAAATACGATCTTTAAACCTCTGTGAGGGAAGCCAGATACCGGTGGCTCATGCCTATAATCCTAGCTACTCAGGAGGCTGAGATTTGAGGACTGCGATTCAAAACCAGCCTGGGCAGGAAAGTCCATGAGACTCTTACCTCCAATAAACCACTCAGAAAACTGGAAGTGGCGTTGTGGCTCAAGAGGTAGAGTGCTTGCCTTGAGCTGGAGAGCTCAGGGATAGCGCCATGGTCTAGATTTCAAACCCCACAACTGACAAAAACAAACAAACAAAAACCTCTATGAGAGAGGTAGAATAAGGCAGAGCCTACTGCATGTGGCTTCAAGGCTCAGAGATGAGGTACAAACCAAGGTGTCTACCTTTCTGCTTCCTTGTCTGTCTCATGTGGAACAGTAATGGAATAAGATGTAACATTCTAACCCAGTTGGAGGAACCAGAGAGCCCGTAGGGATACAGGAGAGGATGAGAGTAGCAATAGATGAGTGGAGAAAGGATCTTTCTGAAGTTAGTTCTAACATCTCAATGTTAGAACTGAAACATATTCTTGATGTTAGAACTGAACAAAACTCTTCCCCTAACTAACTTCTCATTCTGAAGGATTTTCTGTCTTTCTTTCTTTGTCAGGTGTTGTGCTTGAACTCGGCCTGGGTGCTGTCCCTGAGACTTTTTTGCTCAAGGCTAGTGCTTTACCAGAGTACCACTTCTGATTTTTAGAGGGTTAATTGCAGATAAACGTTTCACTGGGGCTGGGAAGGTGGCTCAGTGGTAGAGTGCTTGCCTTGCATGCATCAGGCCCTGGGTTCAATTTCTCAGCACTACATAAGCAGAAAAAGCTGGAAGTGGCGCTATGGCTCAGGTAGTAGAGCTCTTGCCTTGAGCTGAAAAGCTGAGGGACAGTACCCAGGCCAAGTTCTGGCCCCACGACCACCACCACCACCAACAAAAGTTTCACAGACATTCCTGCTGGGGCTGGCTTTGAACAGCAATCTTCAGATCTCAGCCTCCTGAGTAGCTAGATTATAGGCATGATCCACCAGGGCCTGGCCTTCTGAAGGACTTTCTTTGCTATAGATCTTCATTTCCCTTTGGGCTTCTCTCTGCTATAACACTTGTTAGCCCTGTACTAAAAGTCCATTTGACTGGGTGCTTCCTGAGCAGAGTCTGGGCCTGACATCCTGATACCAGTTTGAGGGGAAGGTGGTTGGTGAATGTTAGCTGAATGAAGGAGTTAAGAAAGAGCATTAAGGACATGGTTGTGATGAAGACAGTAAGAGGTTATAAAAGTTCAGCTTAAGCATGGCAGATCATATGATAGGAACGGGGGACATTTGAATCACTTAGACACATTGATAATAGTAGAGTGATAAGTGCCAAAACAATGGGAAGCTAAGGATTGTCAGGGCATAGAGGATACACCTACCAATGGCCAGAAAAGGCTCCTTGAAGAAGCAGTTGCTTATTCAGATATAAGTCACAGACACGGGATTATGAGTGTATGTCTGAGCAAATGCATGGATAGCACACCTGGTGAGGACAGCTTTGTTGTTAGGCTAGTAGGACCATAAGAAAAGAAAAGTCAGGGCTGGGAAGGTGGCTCAGTGGTAGAGTGCTTGCTTCACATGCATGAGGCCTTGGGTTCCATTCCTCAGCACCACATAAA